GAAAACAATGGAGGGGGTAACAATGCTCCATAGGAAGTGTACTCATTACCTCACTCATGTAACTGTAACCCTCTGTATAGCATCTTTACAATAAAAAAATTAAAATAAATTTTAAAAAAGTTAATCAAGGGCTGGGAAGGTGGCTCAGTGGTAGAGTGCTTGCCTAGCATACATGAAGCCCTGGGTTTGATTCTTCAGCACCACATAAGCAGAAAAAGCCGAAAGTGGCCCTGTGGCTCAAGTGGTAGAGTGATAACCTTGAACAAAAGAAGCTCAGGGACAGACAGGACTGGCAAAAAAAAAGCTAACCAAAGGTTTAGAAAAGAGGTCTGTCCTCGTGGTTTGGGGAAATCGTGGAGACCTTCAATCTTTTGAAAATTGTCTTTAAATTAAGATTCTCATTGTTGGCCTTTACAAGGAAGAGAAGAAGCCATGGAAGGAATCTGAGATCCAGGCTACCAGAAATTTTTTAAGGGAAAAAAATGCAAGCCTGCCAGGCTCTGGTGGCTCACATCTGTAACCCTACCCCCTCAGGAGGCTGAAAGCTGAAGGTCATGGTTCAAGGCCAGCTCAAGCAGGAAAATGTGTGAGACCCTCAGCTTCAATTAACCAGCAAAAGCTGCCCGTGAAACTGTGGCTCAAGTGATAGAGCACTAGCCCTGAGCAAAAAAAAACACCTCAGGGATGACATCCAGGCTTTGCGTTCAAGCCCAGAGCCAGTACAAAAAAATAAAGTAAAATAAAGAATAAAAACTGTGTAAGATCTATCTTCAGTCTGTGGGGCGTTCAACACCTACAAATACCTGTGGAAATTATCATGCATTTCATAAATGAAAAAAAAAACACTTCTTAAATTGTGCCCCAAGATTTTACACCCCTACCTGCTGGGAAGCAGGAGCAGTAGTAATGGTGCTACAGCTTTCTATGAAATGATGACTGTTTATCTGTCTCCATGAGGAGGGAAGCTTCCAGGCCCCCCCACTCAGCCTTTGGACAAAGTTGGAACTAACATTTGGAGGCGGGGTGGGGGGAAGCTCCGTGCAATGCCCATGTGCCTCTGGTCCTAGAAAGCAGTATTTATCCAACGAAACTCCAGGAAATAGAGTTGGTTGTTGTTTTCCTTTTCTTTTTCTCTCATTTGTTCATTTTCCTGTCCTTGTGGGGGGGGGTGAGGAGGGCACAGAATGGGGGGACAGAGGGTGAACAAATGCAGCAGGGGTTCTCACTCCACGCCCTGTGGACAATGATCTCTACAGCTTGTGGGTGGGGACAGGAGGGGAAACTGGCAGAGAGCGAGGGAAGAGGTGACATTGTCTGAAAAGAAGTGTACTCGACCTGACTGGTGTAACTGTCACCTCTCTCCCCCCATCCCCTTTGTAATAACCATGGTTTTAGACGAGGGGGAGAAGCAAGAAGAATAAACAAGCCTGAATTCCCCTCACTTCTAATCTCGTCTCTTGGGGAAATAAAATGAGCGTGACTTTTTTTTTAATTCTGCCCAGACCGGCGTCCCTGGGGCGGGGTGGGGGGTGGGGAGCTCAGGGTTTGGAGAGGGGAGGTCCCCGTGAGCGGGTGCGGGGGCAGCCCGCGGCCTGGCTGCGTCCC